CCTCTGACATCCCCCTCATGACCTCCACAGGGGTCCTGACCCCCAGGCTGAGAAACACTGATATAGTTAATCTCCGAAAGCACAGCTCCTAGCCTTTTTGCTACTCATATCAAGGGCATACTTAAAGAAAGATATATCTCAGAGTAGTAACCTCGCCATGTGTCCAAAAGCAGCCAGTCCCACATCCGCCATACTAGGAGACTACCTTGGAGTCTGCAATTATTCTTATTATATTTCCTAAGTGCTTTTATTGCTGGGTAATGACTGCTTTAGTATAAAGCATGATATACTTTCTTGCCACATCAGCATATTACTAAACTACACAGTCAGCTCGAAATTCTTTCTAAAGACTTCAGTGCTGTTTAGCAGTATGCCTTGGTTTATAGGGATAATTTATAGACATTTCCACACAGATTTAAGAATCATTACAGACATTTTAAATGCTGTTACAATAAGTCTCACAGAAGCCCATGCTGTTTTCAGCTAAGCACTGTTATACATTATTTACCAAAGGACGGGAGGAGGAAAAGGGACAGAGACCCTATGGCTGCATGAACATTGATTTAGTTTTACAGACGACAGCAATTGGTGCTGTCATACAATATGGTTATTGCTTACATAGTATGTGCACAGGTCACATTGATTTATTTTCTGATTGTATCCTAATTGTGGTTGCTATTTTGCTACGGTATGTGCAAAAAGCTAGACTAACACACACATTTATGCACTTACATGAACTTGTAAGAAATCATGTGTGTCCACATGCTAAAACATGTAAGGACTAGTTATCCATATAGTTCTTTTTCATGCTGAAAGCAAAAGTGGGACCGAGTAGCTAAGAATCAATACTGTTGGCATGGTTACCACAACTTGAATCAAACACTGAGGAACCTCCAGGAAAAAAGGAAAACTGAAAAAATTTAGATGATCATGCGCATTGAGCTTATATGTACATACATCGCTTCAACAAGAAGAAGCCAAATAAACTATTGTCCACAGTGCATATAAGCATGAATTGTTTATTGCTGTGCATACACCCCTGCTGAAGTTTGAATAGCTTATTCTCAGGCGGTTTGTGCAACAAAAGTGGGGCTGTTTTGGGGGGGGGGGGGGGGGGTGAGGTACCCTAATAAATCTCAACAAGCTATTGAGAGCTGCACATTGTTGCCTCTACTGATGTTTGCTTTAGAATTCCCACAATACCCTTCAAAGCTTGGTAGCAGTGAAAATATATTTTTTTCCTTAATGAACCAGATAGCCGACCACTTGGGAGGGCAACAAAGAAGTATAGGAGGGATCATGCTATCTATAAGCCAGTAATTGCCCATCTATATATATAAAATGCTCATGTCGTAATGAGTGGCTTAAAAACAAAAGAACCGCTGGGCCAATACCCACCAAATTTGGCAACAAAACTTCTCACCATACAAGGTGTGACCATCAATAATAAAAAACAAAAAAAGAACTTACAAATCCTAAAAAAGGAGAAGATACCACTGGGCATGCGTACTGGGACGGGGGGGGGGGTGCGCTCGCGCTCGCACACACAGAAGAGCTCCACGTGCCGGAGCCTGTGCCGGCAACGGCCTGAAGTCAGCCTTGGTTCTCTCCCTCCTCCTTCTCTCCCTTCCTTCTCTCTTTCCCCATTTTCTCCCTTCATGCCTTCCCTGCCTCCTCTCCTCCCTCCCTCTTTCCCTCATCCTTCCCCTCTTTCCTTCTCTCTTTCCTCTTTCCTTTCCTCCCTTCTATCATTCCTCCTTCCCTTCTTCCTTCATCTTCAGCTCTCTCCTTGGGTGCCGCCATCAAGGGGATCCAGTAAGCCCCGCCCCTAGTAGAGCAGAGTGTGCTGGGGATGAAGGAAGGAAGGGGTGAGCCCAGTTCAGTTCCAGGTGAGCTGGACATCCACTCCCAAGGTCAAATTTTCCCCAATTTCCACCAGAATTCACCTTTGGGCATATTGAGAATTCCTCCCAAGTTTGGTCCCGATCCATCTTTGTTTGGGTTCACAGTGCTCTCCGGATGAACAATTTCTCCTCCTCCTCCTCCTCATTCTCTCATCCACACCAACGCCCCCTTCCCTCCCTCCACCCTTTCCTTCCTTTCTGTACTTCCCTTCCTTCTCCTTCCTTTAATTCTTTCCCTTCCCTCCTTCCTCCCTCCCTTTCCTTTTCTCCATTACTCCTTCCTCCCTTTCTCCCTTCCCTTCCTCCTTTTCTTTCCTTCCCTTTTCTCCCCCACCCCCCTCACCAGCTTCATCCTTCTTTATTAAATCTACAGCTTAGATGCACTCAAAGTCACCCCTTCCACACTGCCATGTAAAATCCAGATTACCTACTTAGGACTGGATTCTATGGCAGTGTAGACACACACACGCACAGATATGGATGGATGCAGGATCACTGGTTGGTGGTATATATCTATATTCTGTCTGTCTATCTCTCTATCTCTATGTATATACATATATATAATTACAATACTATATATATTACTATTATATATACTGCTATATAATACATAAATATTATATTATATATATTACTATTATAACTATTACTATATAATATGTTACTACTATATGTTACTATATTAAATAGACTCCTAGAATAGAGTTCGAAGGGACTCTACCAGACAGAAGAGAAGTAGGGGGGGAAGGAGAGAAGGAAGGAAAGAAAGAGGTACCGAAGGAAGGAAGGAAGAAGATAAAGTAGAAATGAAAGGAAAGGCAGGAAAGAAAGAGGTAAAAAGGAAGGAAGGGAAAAGGAAATAAAAAGTGAAAGAAGCAAGAAAACAGTGAAGGAAGACATGAGACAAAGGAAGTAGAGAAAGGGGGAGGGAAGGAAGGAAAGAGAGGAGGAAGGATGAAACCAAAGAGTGAAATAAGGAATGAAAGAAAGAGGTAGAGAAGGAAGAAAGGAGAGAAAGGGGAAGAAAAAGAGGGGAAGGAATAGGTAGGTACCTCTCTTTCATAATAGTCCAGATATCTACCTCTACTTTGAAAATTCTTACTATAGGCTACAGCAACGCATGGCAGGGTACAGCTAGTTTCTATTATACAGGATTATAGTAGCCAACTGTTGGGGCACAATGTTCTGCAGGGGCAGTCATGATCCTTTAAGTCAGCGGTTCCCGAACTGTGTTACGTAAAATCTTTAGGGCTCCGCAAAAGTATTGTAAGGGTTTCACAAAAACCTTTAAAATCTTTCTTCAAAAGCTAGTACCAGAATATGAAGATCCTATTGAAATTCATTGTACTTCTCCTTTAAAAGCAAAACTTGACTTGTGTCAGTGAATGACTTTTCGGTAAGACTGATAGACATAATCTGTCAGTAGTCAGAAAGGCTATCTCAGCCCTACTCCCCTTCGTGTCCACCTGTCGATACAAATCAGGCTTTTCAGCTTATGCTTACATCAAAAACAAATTTAGGATTAAATTGGATGCCGCCCCAGATTTACATATCAGCTGTTAACAATTTCAAAACTATGTTAAGTATAAAAATCAAACAATTTCATTCATCACTTTAGGTGTGAATCCAGTATATTCCTTTACCAAATGAAAGGTTTCTGGTCATATCCAATATTTTATTGTATCGCATTAAAGAATATACTCAAAACATTTACTTGTTATTTTTCAAGCCTACTTAATTATGGTGCCCTCAGTGGCACAGCGGGTTAAACCGCTGAACTGCTGATCTTGCTGACCAGAAGGTCAGCGGTTCAAATCCGGGGAGCAGCATGAGCTCCCGCTGTTAGCCCCAGCTTCTGCCAACTTAGCAGTTCAAAAACATGCAAATTTGAGTAGATCAATAGGTACCACTTTGGCAGGAAGGTAACGGCATTCCATGCAGTCAGGCTGGCCACATGACCTTAGAAGTGTCTATGGACAATACCGACTCTTCAGCCTAGAAATGGAGATGAGTACCATCCTCCAGAGTCGAATCTGACTAGACTTAATGTTAAAGGGAAACCTTTACTTTACTGCATTATATAAAGAAATTAAGGGAACAGAAGTAGATGGACACAGAAAGAACTTTGTGGTTTCACAATGCCTAGGGACAGAGTTAGGATTCTGCAAAAAAAATCATAGTGGGAGGGCTCCACGCAGGGGGTTCTCTGAAGGGTTCAATGCCTGAAAATGTTTGGGTACCTTTAAGTGTCATGTGCCAGGGTCTGATATTATTAGAGCCCACTGTTTACATAATTCTCTTTCCAATGATTTCAAGAGCAACACTAGCCCACCAACCAATGTTTTAGCACTGTGAAAAGCAATTTCTCTGCAAGCAAATAGAGAATTATTGCAAGAAGGTATTAGATACTGCCTTTCACAAGCAAGGAAAAAGACAACTGCCAACTTAAGCAAACATTATACCAGTATAATTCCCACACAATCCAAAATCAAAAAATGCAAGAGGAATCTGTTGGTCATCTTTAGCAACAAATTGTCTTAACTGAGAAAAAGTAGAACTTTATATCTTACCGCACCATATCGATTTCCTTGGTCACCTAAGTTCTTTGGCCAAATTGTTTATGGGATGACAATGTGTTAGGAATTTAAAACTGTCTAGGAGCTAGAATTATATATAATTTTCTCTCCTGATTGACACAGTGGTGACTAAGATGAGTGGGTGGAGCAGGTTCTTGATGCACAAACTGTTTGGTTTGAGCCTGATAACTCATCTTAAACATTGTGATCAGATGTGACACATAGGAATGCTTCTTACAATTCTGCTCTGGAAAGTGGTCTCTAAGGGACCAATTTTCTGTTGTAATATGACATTATTTCTCTCTTCGATGAAGTAAATCAATTTCAGCCAAGTCAAAAATGTTAGCACTTTGACATTTGTTTATGTTTCTGGTATTGATAATAGCCAGTAGATGTTAGAGCTGTTAGGAATCATTGTTTGCACTGTTTTGGATGTTTGAACCTGCATTACTTACATTCTTCCAAGACAAATGATGTTATGGCTTATTTCTGTTGGTTTTATTTTTGTCTCTACATCCAGGAGTTGAACGCAGACGAATTTATGACATAGTGAATGTCTTGGAATCTCTTGATCTCGTTAGTCGGGTAGCTAAGAATCAGTATTGTTGGCATGGTCGTCATAGCTTGAGTCAGACTCTGAAAAACCTCCAGGAAATAGGAGAGTTGCAAAAATATGAAGAACTTATGGCTTATTTCCAACATAAAGAGCTAGACCTCGAGTGTAGATTTGGAGAGAATAAAAAGGAGACCTTTTTCGATTTCCAAGACCGACAGTTGCTTGACTTCTCAGAGACAGATTGTCCGTCTGGTAAGTTAACTGAAAGCATTGGCAAGGTAAAGATTCTTGCTGTCATCAGATTCTTCCAAATTTTGTTGGGCAAGTGGGCTTATTAACAAAATCATAAATGTACAGCAGAGTAACTTAGCAGGAGCAAAGTGACCCAGCACCAGTAGTCAAAAGTGATAAAAAGAACAAAAACACTCAGACCAATGTTCTCTCTTCCATAGGAAGCTTTTCTTTATAGCAAAATAATATGGTTGCACTGTTTACAAGAATAAGGTTTCCATAACACAAATAAACAAATACACGGTAGCTTTACACACAGCAGCCTTCACACTGGAGATTTCTCACACGAGGCTTCTCTCACACAGAGATTTACCTTAGACTTCTGAGAACAACACTAGCTTTGACTTGCCAACTCTAATAGGCTTTGGCCTACTCACTGTCCTCAGGATGACACTAGCTTTGGTTCCCTGACTCTAATAGGCTTTGGCTTACTAACTCGTTCAGTGCTTGACTCACACTTTTGTAATAAAAAATACCCAGTTAATTTTTAATATATATTTCTGACCGTTTTTAATTATAAGCAAAATGATTATATCTAAAATGATCTTTTGCAAGACAAGTCTTCTTTTTTCTTTAACTACCGTATATCATAATCACCTTTTGAGTCTGTCTTCTCATCCACATGCCAAGTACACCCACATTTCTCTTACTTCTTCGTGCTGACTTCCAGTTTACATATTTCTAGAACATAAGCCTCATAGTATGGTTTCACTCTTCTTTGCTCTGGCACTCTGCATTGATAAAACCTGACCAGAATGTATAACTTTCCAATGTAGTTCTTAAAGATATATTACTGTCCTTTCTAGAAGATGATTAAAGTCAAACTGTCCATCTGTTGCAGGCAATTATTTTCAGCTCATTAAAAGAAGTCCTGCTTTCCAAAAAGGAAATGTGGGTTTGGGGTGGGGGGTTGCTTCTTTTTTTAATCCTGTGCGCAAAACCTTTATATATAATGCTTTCTTGGCGGTGATAGAAATAACATGCTGAGACTTGGGTTGTGTTTGTAATACAGCGTCTGCAAACAGCAGAAAGGACAAGTCGTTGAGGATTATGAGCCAAAAATTTGTCATGCTGTTCCTTGTCTCCAAAACCAAGATAGTCACTCTTGACATAGCAGCAAAAATATTGATAGAAGAAAGCCAGGATACAGCCGATCACAGCAAGTTTAAAAGTAAGGATTATTTCTCTGGGAGGTGAATAATCATTTGGTTGCTGAGGAGTATAATTGTCATAGAGAAAGGACCAGATTGCATATTTGCTGTTTTAGAGTCTTCAAGGAAATGTCTTCCCTGAAAATAATTATCAGGTCATACAGGAGCTGCGCGTAAACCACGGGTTGCACTGGAATTATCATGGGAAGGTGTGTGTATGTGCTCCTGGATACGTCTTGTCCATTGTGCCTTGAAGATAAATGATCATGAGAGTAAATGGTAAAATGATAAATGGCACCATCTCCTATAATGCTGACTTCAATGATAGCACACAAACCTCCAAATGAAATGTATTGTCATGTGTTGGGTTATTAATATATTTCAAAGAGACTGCAACCGTCATTGATCAAAATTAATGTGTCCAAGCTCAGGGTCATTATTTGACTAGCCTTTATAGTAGCAGACTGCATTCAAAGAGTATAATATAAAATACTGGTTTTAATATAGTACTCTATATTAGTCCTTAAAAGATAAATCCATTCATACCTACTAGGAAGTACAGTTACTGATCAAAGTAAGAGTTTGGTCCACACCCACCACAAAAAACAGAAGCATTTTTATATATATTTCCCATATTTTTCAAGGATTTCGCTATTCAAACAAGCTTTTGAGAACATCTAGTCCCTAGTTGATCTATGAATTTGTTATGCAGCCTTGCACTTTATCCCATGCCTTCTCTCCCATGGTTGCAGCTATATTTATTCCCAATTCCCTGGCCCTATTGTTTACAGCCTGGCCATGTTTACACTAGCTATTGCCACTGATGGATGAGCACCGTTTTAGTCTTAGTTTCATGCTGTTGTTACATGCTTATGTGTTTTATTAAATTGTATTTTATTTTGTGTTTTATTTCATGACTTGCTTTTAGGTACCTTGTGCCCTTGTGTAAGCCGTCCCAAGTCCCTTCGGGGAGATGGTGGCGGGATACAAGAACAAAGTTGTTGTTATTGTTGTTGTTATGCCTGATTAGCATTTCGTTATAGTGTAAATATTTATTTAAATTTTAAACAACTTTATTTTCAGCAAAGGTACGAAGGTTATATGATATTGCCAATGTCTTGACAAGCCTTGGACTCATCAAGAAAGTGCACGTAACAGAAGAGAGAGGACGTAAGCCAGCTTTTAAGTGGATTGGGCCTGTGGAATTCAGTGGAGACAATGGTAATTTTCTTTATAATATGTCTCTTCCTATGAGTATGTTATTGCCATACCTGACCCTTGTCACCTAGATAGGGTTAAACAGTTTTCTGTATGTATGTAAAAGAAGCCTCGTAACATCCAGGGACAGATGAATAGAAAGCTGAGTCCTTAACATGGCAGAGGTGCCCTACAGAGAGGTCACTTTACCAAAGGTAGCTGATGTGCCAAAATAAAGAATGAGAGAGACACAGAGAATTTGTTGGTGTTGTACACATATACATTCCCTAACACATGTCATTCTAGCTTGGGGGCTATTGTGCAACACGCAAGTTCAGTTCATAGTTGCATAAGCAGAGTTACTCAGGTGTAACAATTTCCCATGCAGGTGCACTTTGTTAGATGATGCGTAATTATTTGTCAGTGCATTCAAGCTACCATTTAGTTCACTGGGATTTTAGCACAGCCATTGTTTGTCCATTTACACAGCAGGATAGTAAGGGTATACAATGTGATTTTAATATTTATACTAGGATGTTTTAATGCTTTGTCTTAATGTTTAAGTGTTGTTTATGTTTTATGTTTAACGGTTTTAATTCATAGTTATATATTACTGTTATTGTGATTATTACATGTATGTTGGCACTGAATTTTTTATTAGTATGTTGTAAACCATATGGAGTCCCAGGTGGCGCAGCGGGTTAAAACACTGAACTGCGGAACTTTCTGACCGAAAGGTCAGCGGTTCAAATCCGGGGAGCGAGGTGTTCTCCCACTGTTAGCCCCAACTTCTGCCAACCTAGCAGTTCGAAAACATACAAATGTGAATAGATCAATAGGTACTGCTTCTGCGGGAAGCTAATGACACTCCATCTAGTCAAGCTCACCACATGACTTTGGAGGCGTCTACAAATGACGCTGACTCTTCGGCTTAGGAATGGAGGTGAGCACCACCCCCCAGAGTAAGACATGACTAGACTTAATGTCAAAGGGGAACCTTTAACTTGACTATGTTATAAACCGCCTCAAGTCCCCTCAGAAGTGAGAAAGCTGGTATAGAAATACAGTAAGTAAATCACATAAGTGTAAATGTACACTTCAGAAGCATGATTTGGATTAAAACATTGGCCAGAATGTTTAGTAACATAGTCTTCTCACACAAGTTGACATTATGTACATGACATTCAGATGTAAAACAAAGAGATATTTTAGCATTGGGTTGTTGTAGGTTTTTTCAGGCTATATGGCCATGTTCCAGAGGCATTCTCTCCTGACATTTCGCCTGCATCTATGGCAAGCATCCTCACAACCTCTGAGGATGCTTGCCATAGATGCAGGCGAAAGGTCAGGAGAGAATGCCTCTAGAACATGGCCATATAGCCCGAAAAAATCTACAACAACCCAGTGATTCCAGCCATGAAAGCCTTCGACAATACTTTAACATTCTATGTGTTGGCCAGATACCTGGGAATTGGACAGATGGTGGTGTGAAAATTGTTAGAACGAGGTGTAATTTATTTTCCAATGTAGGATATTAATTTTTGGACAGGAGAAAGCATCTGTTTTAGCCTGATGTACTGGTTTTGTGACACAGTAAACTGTACAATGACTAAATTATCTCCAGAATTTGGAAATAATCCTTTGGGGCGGGGGTAAGAGTGGGACTATAGCAGCCTGTGCTAATATAAATTTTTGGGATCTATAATCCCCCCAAAAGAAGCTTTTCCAACTAACTAACTTAACAAGAATGCATCTATTTAGGTGACATCAAGATGGACCTTTCGGCCTGTGCTGCTTTATCAGAAGTGAAAGGGGCACCACGCTTTCCACACCAGGCTTGCACGGCTAGAAAAGAGCGGATGTCCCGTCATGCCTCCTTCAACACTGTGCAGCCTTCCGAAGTGGTCAAGAGGGAAGTCAGCTCTGAGCCCAGCAGCCCACGCCGCGGGCGGCAAGGTAATGGCCGCAGGGCTTGTACTCTACCAACAGTGTTCTGGTTTACATCTGTAGATTGGTGCATTGTTAAATCTATTTGTCTCCCCCCGACTTGAGCCAGGGTGTGTTTCTTTTGTTAGAATCTGGCAGACAGCGCAATGCTCTCTAAATGGAAGGGGAAAATATTATTTTATGGTTGCTGGTAAGATGGAACTGACTGGAACAATCCCATTTATAGCACTTTCACACTTTTTGCACTGTAAAGTTTTTATAAAGTGATTTGAAGGTCTTACCAGAATTCTGTAACAATGGATCCGAGGGGCACAGCATGTAACGTAAAGGAGGCCTGGTATGTTAAATGCGGCACAATCTGTGCACAGCTATTTTGGTACAAGTTCGACGAGAGAATAGAAATGAACTATAAAATGCAGAGGATTCACTTTGAATAGGCTGCAGTTTTCCCAAGAATTTACATATGCACACATCATGCAAGCCAAGGAGTATCCTTTTTCTTCGGTTAACAGAATAAGCCCCAGTTCTTCTGCTGGGCCTGGACCTAGGAAAAGAGGTAGGGTGCCATACCACTATACCAAGCATGGGCAAACTTTCTAATTTGGGGGCCGCATGGTGGGTGGGCCAGGAGGGAGGGGGTTCTCCCCAAGTCCCCTCCCTGCTCTTTCCTCCCCTTCCTCTTTCGGAGGCAAAAAGTAAAGATGGGAAATGTTTGGATCCCAAAAGTGTAGTCTTGGTCAGGATGAGATGGTGGACAAGAGAGAAAAAGTGTATCCATGAGACCCTGTATTACCTACTCCTGATACAGAATCCTAGAGCTGGAAGAAACCCCCAAGGGCCATCCAGTCCAACCCCCTGCCATGCAGGAAGTCACAATCAAAGCACTCCCGATAGACAGTCTGCAGAAAAGCCTCCACAGAAGGAGACTCCACCACATTCTCAGGCAACCTACACCACTCTCTGACATCTCTTGCTCTCATGAAGTTCTTTCTAATTTTTTCAGTTGAATCTTTCCCTTCCATTTGAACCCTTTGTTCCCTTGTGCCCTGCTCTCTAAAGCAGCAGAAAGTCAGCCCCCCCCCCCCAATGGTACGCCCTTTTAAAATCTGGAAATATGGTTCATGTGTTCCTTCTCTACTCATCCCCAAGGAGGAAGGAAAAAGAAAAGGGAGGAAGAGAAGAATGGAAGGAAGGAAGGAAGGAAGTAAGGAAGGAAGGAAGGAAGAGGAGGGAGGAAAGAGGGAAGAAAAGACAAAAAGAGAAGGAAGGAAAGGAAGGAGGAGAGGAAGGAGAAAGAGAGAAGGGGAAGTAGGGAGGAAAGAGAAGGAAGGGAGCAGTAAGGATTTTGTTTATAAGCACTGAGCAAAGATGGGTTGAAGTGCCCACATATAGCAAATTCACAGTCCCATATTTCTTGAAGTCTTGGGACATCTCCAAAACTCACTGATCCATGACAGTGCATTCTCGCAAGCATACAGGTTGGCTAACCACCAAATTCAGCCACATTTGTGAATCTCTACATTTTATATGGACTTTCCTGTAAAGCCATATTTATAAGGCAGGATGCTTAGTGCTGGGAGAGTGATGATGTGAAGTAACGTTGAAGGACAAAGCAAGAAACTGTAGGTGTCAGATAAGAGCTGTAATACAAAGACAAGTTGCTGACCTAGAAATAGGAGTTGTGAAAGGGAACAGAAGGAATGATCATGACACAATGTAGAAAATCAGTCATTATTGAGGTGATGCTTCTGAGTTCCTTGTGACAATGGCTATCAAAGAGATTGCAAGGTATTGTCTCCTTGACTTTTCACATCTCTTGGCCATTTTTAGACCGTCTAGTAAAGATGCAACTGAATGTTTGTGCATCTGCTCCTCACAGAGTATGACGATAGTGATCAATCAAATGTTCCACCTTTTCTTTGTTTTCCAGATGATTACTGCTCCAAAATGATAAATCTTACATCTGTTTGCTGTCAGAAGATAGAAAATGACAAAAGGTAAATTGAGAGTTCACCTGTAATCCACAAAAACTATGTTCTCAATTAATCTACCACAAAAACTCATGTGTATTTTGTGTATTTTTAGAGGGGAGACTGTAGTTGGCATATGAATCATCCAAAGAGAACACACAACTCACAAAGAATTTCATGGGTTAGAGAAGCTTTACTTGTGTGGCTCCTCCTAGATTTGGCCTTTTAGCACATAAGCACTAATCATAACACAAAGAATGGAAAGGACCCCCTAGTGTATTACTTTATTTCCTTTCCTATGCAAAGATAGGACACAAATCACTATAATTTTCTCAAGAATGCATATTGTGAATACCATATCAATCATTTTAGTGTCTAATATAACAAAAGACATACAATCAGACTTTATCTACCACTCCTTGGATACCCTGGAAGACCATGGTTACTGAACAACAAGTCTAAAGCTGCTTGAGTTCCAGTTCTAAAAAAAAAGAAAAAGAAACATACAAATCAAATAATATAAGTGGGCATTTTGAATAAGATTTCTGCTGCTGTTGTTCTGTTGTTTGTTTGTTTATACCTGCTTTTTATCTCCTCAAGGAGACTCAAAGCGGCTTCCATTAAAAGCATTTAAAATCTAAAAATATACAAACATTAAAACATAATTAAATATAAGGTAAAGGTAAAGGCTTCCCCTGACATTTAAGTCTAGTCATGTCTGACTCTGGGGGGTGGTGCTCATCTCCATTTCTAAGCTGAACAGCCGGCATTGTCCGTAGACGCCTCCAAGGTCATGTGACTAGCATAACTGCATGGAGCGCCATTAACGTCCCACCGGAGAGGTACCTATTGATCTACTCATATTTGCATGTTTTCGAACTGCTAGGTTGACAGAAGCTGGGGCTAACAGCGGAAGCTCACCCCACTCCCAATATTCAATTTGAACCACCAACCTATTGGTGAGCAAGTTCAGCAGCTCAGCGGTTTCACCCACTGCGCCATTAGAGTATTATATTTAATAGCATTGAATATAAATGGTATTAAAGAATTCACATAAAACATAATCAAAGCTCCATTGTCCATTTTATGCTGGTAGTTTCCCAGTCCTAATGTTGACAAACTGCTTCCAAAAAGGTGATGAAATGTGTCTGTGTGTCTGGAACCCTCTTAAACATAAGCAAGGCAAAGGTAACAATAATCTGATGTGAACTCTTCTGTTCATTTCATGAGTGAATATGATTTCCGAAGCTACCACTGACTTTCCATAGATGTTAAAATTGAATAATAAAAAGTATCCAAATTTAGATGTTTGGGTTGGTTAAGCTAAGAAGAGTATGGCATGGATATAGTCGTAATTGTTTCTTTCATCTTTGTAGTCAAAGCTATGAAGCTACAAGGAACCTGGGCATCATTTCTCCCTTCTCTGTCCTTCCTGTTCCCGGAGACTCAGACTATTGTCTTAAGGCATTTCCCACCCTGCCTTTAAATGCCACCTCTGATGTGTCACGACTGTCTTTGCCCAATGGGACGCATGATCAAGCTCTGCCGCTCTCTGCTCTGTCAGCTTCCAAAAAGGAGACCAGGAAAAACACTGTGCTTCCCAATCAACCTTTTGTGTACATTCCATCACTTTATATGCTATGTGGCAATCTTCATGACAGTTTCACAAAGGAGAGTCTTCAAGAAAAGGGAAATGGAGATTGTAATGACCAAGATTCAGCTTGTCTATCAAAAGCTTTTGTGCCTCCTCCTGTTAACAGTCGGAAGAGAAATTCCCCAAAGTGTGCGCTATCCACTGCAAGTGAACCTATCACTAAAAGACTAGATCTGGAAGAAAATGAAGGTCCCATTTCATTGGTGCTAGAAAAGGTAAGGTAATATTTTGATTCAGGTGTGAACTATGTTCACTGTTTACTGCCTGCAATGTTATACATTTTGGAAGTTGAAGGAAAATTTGAGGGGAATGTTCTCATTTTGTCTTTCCAATAGCTAAACCCTTGCTTACATCAAAATAACAGTAGCCATTTTTCACCATCAGATAAAACTCATACACATTTATACTATAGTAGGTGCTCCCAGCAATAAACACCGAAAGGTGTATATTCAGTTACATACAAGGAGGCCATTTTGAGCTGGTCCACACAGTATCTAAAAAATCTAATTGCTATTTGAAGCAATATGTGTCTGGAAAAATAGTATACAGAGACCTGGAAGTCCTAGACAATCAATGCTCTTGAGCATGTATTTACTGAATGTTTCAGATACTTTTTTCATATGTTGTTAAAGTCACCACAAACATCTGTGGTAGATGACCAGAAGTTCTTGAACAAGTGCAATGGCTCCTGAATGGGAAGAGGAAAATAATTTCTTCTCTGCATCCTAAAATTGAAAAGATAAAATTGTAGAGTTGAAAAGTACCCCATGTGCCATCAAGTCCAACCTCTTGCTCAGTGCAAGACTTCCAGCTAGAGCAGTGCTTCTCAACTTGAGGGTGAGGACCCCTTGGGGGGAGGCGTGAGGAGATGTCAAAGTGATCGCCAAAGACAATCAGAAAACAACAGTATTTTCTGTTGGTCATGGTGGTTCTGTGTGGGAGGTTTGGCTCAATTCTATCGCTGGTGGGGTTCAGAATGCTCTTTGATTGTAGGTGAACTGCAACAGCCAAATATCAAGGTCTATTTTCCTCAAACTCCACCAGTTTTCACATTTGGGCATATTGAGTATTCGTGCCAAGTTTGGTCCAGATCCATCATTGTTTGAGTCCACAGTGCTCTCTAGATGTGAATGAACTACAACTCCCAAAACTCAAGGTCAATGCCCACCAAACCCTTTCTGTTGACCATGGGAGTTCTGTATGCCAAATTTGGTTCAATTCCATCGTTGGTGGAGTTCAGAATGCTCTGATTGTAGGTTAACTATAAATCCCAGCAACTACAACTCCCAAATGACAAAATCAATCCCACCAGAATTTCAATTTGTGCCAAATTTTGTCCGGTTAATGAAAATGCACCCTGCATATCAGATATTTACATTACAATTCATAACAGTAGCAACATTATAGTTATGAAAGTAGCAACGAAAATAATTGTATGGTTGGGGATCACCACAACACGAGGAACTGTATTAAGGGGTCAAGGCATTAGGAAGGTTGATAAACCCTGGGCTAAAGCATGCCTGGCAGGTATCTTTTAAAAAGATATCCATAGGAAACCCCCAAATCTCACTCAACTATTTCCTCCATTACTGAGCCACTCTAATCAAGACTTTTCTTCTAATGTCCAATAGAAATCTATTATCCTATAACTTAAAACCATTAGACCTCATTCCAACCTCTCAAGCAGAGTAGTCATTTGTCCCCACTCTGTTCAAAAGCAGGGCCGTCTAGTCCCCAATTACTCAACAAAGTGGCACGTAAACTACAAGTCAATGCTAACAGAGCAGATCACTCATGATTTCTTGTTCTAGTGATGACAAGTCAATTCCCCCAAGAACATTAAACAAGAGCAAATCTTTTTAGCTAGGTCATCCCCCCAAAAAATATGTAACAATCAATCTTGACAGCACTGTCACTGTGATTGTGTTTATTGTAATGTTATTTTGTTACTGTATTCATATGTTTTGGTTTTTTTAAATGTAATTTTAATGCTGTTGCTTGTTGCTTATGTTTTGGTTTTATCTTGCTGTAATATGTTTGGGCTTGGCCTCATGTAAGCCACCCGAATCCCCATTGGCGGGGTATAAATAAAGATTATTATTATTATTATTATTATTATTAAATATTCTGGTTTTTGATAGTTGTTTCTTATTCAGAAACAAATGTTGGTTCTTGCTCATTTTTGCCACTTCCACTAGACAGCATTGGAGAGAAAAAAATCCATAAGACATTTAGGTGGTTTTGCTCTAGTGAAATTGTTGCGAAATGAGAACATTCCTAATAGAGAAGCTGCTTCATGAGTAATTTATCCCATTATCAGCTGTACTTTTTACCTTTAAGGCTAGATAGGAATAGATCATGGTACAATTTCTATCTTCCCACAGGGTTGCGTCTCTATGAAAAGGAGGATGATTTGTGTTTCTCTTTTTGTTCTTTTCTTAGAAGACTATTAAGCCTGCGGACACAGAATCTTCCCCAGATCGTAACTGCAGTCCAATTGACCAACTAAGAGGCTTCCAGCTTGAATCAGGGACTTTGGCTCCTATGGAAGCTGCCACAAGAGATGCAGCTAAAGCCTTAGGAACATGGGAGCAAGATAAGCCATACAGAAGGAAAGAGCTGAAAGAAAACACAAAAGAAAATGAACAGACTTCCCAAGAAAATGACAAACAGCCCTCCTTGCCACAGTATTTCTATCTACCGCCTGCAGCTGGTAAAGACTGCTCTGAAAATACACTGTTTTAACATCTAGCTAGAATATATTTTCAAACAATGGCTGATGTCCAGCTAAATTAGACCTGTTTAATTAACTGTAGAATGACAAGTCAGAAAATAGATAAATGTAATTGATTCAGTGGTTCTTCTGCAGTCGGGACTAAAAGAAGATTTAGGCTAATGTCATACCATAATAGGTTCTTTAGTTGACATTTCAGTCTCAGTTTATAGGATTTTCAAGATAAACTGGGTTACTAATGTCTCCTTCTGGGTAATAGTACTAAGAATTGCTAATACAATTTACACTTCTGCTGTTGATACCACATTTCTTCCATTCCAAGATGCACTTTTTTCTTATATAAACATATGTAAAAATGGGGTGCATCTTAGAATTGCAGGTGTATCTTATGTATGGCTTGCTATGAGTTTTCTGGGCTGTATGGCTATGTTCCAGAAGCTTTCGGCTTGAATCAGGGACTGTGGCAGGCACCCTCAGAGGTTGTGAGGTCTATTGGAAAGTAGGCAAGTGAGGTTTATATATCTGGAATTTCCAGGGTGGGAGAAAGTACTCTTGTCTGCTTGAGGCAAGTGTAAATATTGCAGTTGGCCACCTTGATTAGCATTGAATAGCCTTGCAACTTCAAAGCCTGGTTGCTTCCTTCCTTTGTTGGGAGGTGTTAGCTGGTCCTGATGGTTTCATGTGTGACTCTTTATTTACTGTCCTGATTTTAGAGATTTTTAATACTGGGAGCCAGATTTTGTTCATTTTCATGGTTTCCTCCTTTCTGTTGAAATTGTCCACATGCTTGCCAATTTCAATGGTTTTTTTCAATATCATTTCATTTCAATATCATCTAGTTCCAGATCTCAGTCTGAAATGATATGGAAAGAAAGCAAAACACTTAGCCCTGGTCAATTAATCTCAGCTTCTCTCTGATATCTGATTCCTCACACTCCCATCTTGAGAGAAAAAGAAATGGATATCTTCCTAATTGTAATACCTGCTTCTGTTCTTCTCTCCAGGATTAAATGGTTTTAATTTCCTGTTCCCTGCCAGCCAAACTCCTGCTCCTGTCGGCCTATCTTCAAGCCATTTGCCTTCACTTAACGTTTCCTGTATGATGGTTCCTTCTTCAGCTTTGGCGCCAGTCCCTCTTATCTATTCTCCAGCAGTAACGGCAAGCCAAGTTTCTTCGGCTCCTTCTGGCTCCTTCCCAAGCGTCACATGCATGAATTTCAGCATGCCTGGCCTGACATCTACAACACCTGTTTTCATTGGGACCCCAGCAGTTGTTGCTCAGAATTCATCACCGCTACCGGCACGGGAATTGCACCAGCAGGTTCATTCAGCTGCACACCTGAGCCCTGTGCCAGGATCTGGTAAAGCAGATTCAGCCATTTGCATGGGTCAACCAGTCACCCTTCTGAAATTGCAACAGGTGAGAAAGCCAAAGGGTTAGTCCAACACAGGGATGCAAAACTCAGGAGTGCCAATGCTTTAAAACGTGTCTATTTAACCACCAAATGGCCTACTAGTTCTAAAATTCTGTTTCATTTCGAGCAGATCTGAGTCCTGTGTCTCATCCTTTGCCATTTGGAATGCTGGCTAAGCTTGGTAGGAACTGAACTCTAGTAAGAGAACCAGGCATTTCCTGTCCAGTTTTAAGACGAAATGCAACATAATGGCTGGAATTCACCAATGTGGATCCTAGGGCTATGCATTCTTCAAAATTCCTGCATATTCAATAGTGTAGGAAAAACATAGGGGTTGCAAAAGTCCCCCAACCTTTCCTAACCAGGAGGCAGCCATTGTAAACAATGGGGATTTCTTCTGTTGATGGAGATGAAGTTTCTTCCTGGCTCCTGAGAGTAACCTTCCATCTAAAAACAAATTGCATCAGGGATCCTTCTTCACACTGTCACAGACCCCCATTGCTTTTAATGGCTTGCAAATCAGGGTTCCTGGGCCAAGCCAGAAGAATCTCAGCCATTGACAGCACCAAAATGTTCTCATTGTCAAATTCTCACAGCCATGCCCTGCTGAAACAACCTATGAAGCATCTTCCCCTACAGAACCGGGAACCGGTTGGGCAAGCATGTATTGCATAACAACAATAGTTTTGTAAACAGTATTGAATCTACTCTGGATAATAATCTGAACTTTTAAAGAAGTTAGTGAAAGTGCTCGACTCTGGCCCTCAAAATAGATTTAATTACATCTTGGATAGCCCCTTTAAAGATCAAATTAAAAATGGGATTGGCTGCTACACCAAAGGCTCTCTAATTTCTTGAATCATTGGAGTGGAGACAAACCCCAGTCAGAGTCCTCACTTTCAGTACTTGGGGGAAAAGGAAGACTTGAGCGAGGATTGTGGTCCCTTTTGTATTACCGTACATACTCAAGTATAAGCTGACCCGAATATAAGCCGAGGAACCTAATTTTACCACAAAAACACTGAGAAAACGTATTTACTCGAGTATAAGCCAGGGGTGGGAATTGCAGCGGCTATTGGTAAATTTCAAAAGGAAAATAGATACCAATAAAATTACATTAATTGTGGCATCAGTAGGTTAAATGGTTTTGAATATTTACATAAAACTGTAATTTAAGATAAGACTGTTCCAATTCTGATTAAACCATGATTCTCACCTTCTTCAATGTAAATGTGCTTGCGTATCCTTCCAATAATAATAGAGTAAAATAATAAATGCAATAAAAATAATAATAGTACAAAATAATAAATGTAGTAATAATAATAATAATAATAATAATAATAATAATAATAAATTGAGTAAAATAATAAAAGTAATAAAAACAATAATAGAGTAAAATAATGGAATTGTAATAACTGACCACGGAACAACAGACTGGTTCAAGATTGGGAAAGGCGTACGGCAAGGCTGCATACTCTCACCCAACCTTTTTAACTTGTATGCAGAACACATCATGCGATGTGCGGGGCTTGATGAATGCAAGGCTGGGGTGAAAATTGCTGGAAGAAACATTAACAACCTCAGATATGCAGATGACACCACTCTGATGGCCGAAAGCGAGGAGGAGCTGAGGAGCCTTCTAATCAAGGTGAAAGAAGAAAGCGCAAAAGCCGGGTTGCAGCTAAACGTCAAAAACACCAAGATTATGGCAACAAGAATGATTGACAACTGGAAAATAGAGGGAGAAACCGTGGAGGCCGTGACAGACTTTGTATTTCTAGGTGCAAAGATTACTGCAGATGCAGACTGTAGCCAGGAAATCAGAATACGCTTACTTCTTGGGAGGAGAGCAATGTCCAGTCTCGATAAAATAGTGAAGAGTAGAGACATCAGACTGGCAACAAAGATCCGCCTAGTCACCTACGGATGTGAGAGCTGGACCTTAGAGAAGGCTGAGCGAAGGAAGATCGATGCTTTTGAGCTGTGGTGTTGGAGGAAAGTGTCTGAGAGGGCCTTGGACTGCGAGAAGATCCAACCAGTCCATCCTCCAGGAAATAAAGCCCGACTGCTCACTGGAGGGAAAGATACTAGAGACAAAGTTGAAGTACTTTGGCCACATCATGAGGAGACAGGAAAGCCTAGAGAAGACAATTAGGCGGGAAAGTGGAAGGCAAAAGGAAGAGGGGCCGACCAAGGGCAAGATGGATGGATGGCATCCTTGAAGTGACTGGACTGACCTTGAGGGAGCTGGGGGTGGTAACGGCCGACAGGGAGCTCTGGCGTGGGCTGGTCCATGAGGTCACGAAGAGTCGGAGACGACTGAACGAATGAACAACAACAACAACAATAACAATAATAGATTAAAATAATAAAAATAATTATACATAACAATAAAATGATAAATAACTATGACTCGAGTGTAAGCCAGGGGAAACTTTATCAGCCTCAAAAAAGGGCTGAAAAACTTGTCTTCTACTCGAGTATATCCTTTTTCTTTTTATTGTTGTTTCATTTTTAAGTGGGTGTTAACTGTTCATTTTTAATTGTATCTTAATGAAGTCAATTCCTGTCTCTGACGCTTTACAAAAGCAGAAAAGTGGAAGAGTGTATTACAATAAATAAATGCAGCTTCAAGTTCTTTCCCAAACTAATCAATGCTGTTGTTAACTATTTTAATGTACAACCTAGCATCCAAGCCAGATGCATTCATAACTGGCTTAGAAGTCTAGATCAGGACTTTTTAAACTTTTTTCACTTGCGACCTTTTTATGCCTAGAAAATGTTTACATGACTCTGGGTATATAGGCATATAAAATAGGTATAAAATCAAACATTTAGTGATGGTAGCAAGCATTTGCAAAGCTTGTTAAACAAGCTGATATTTCCTTTTTGTGGAGTAAGGCTGGTGCATGTTCTACAGAGCCTGCTGTAAACACTGCATGTTATTGCCAACAGGTTTGTGTAAAGGGGTGGTGTTCAGAAACCTTTTTAGTAAGGTAAAGCTTTCCCCTGACATTAAGTCTAGTCAGGTCCAACTGAGGGTTGGTGCTCCTCTCCATTTCTAAGCCAAAGAGCCGGCGTTGTTCATAGACACCTCCAAGTTTAAGTGGCCGGCATGACTGCATGGAGCACTGTTACCTTCTCGCAGAAGCATTGCCTATTGTCTTATTCACATCTGCATGTTTTCGAACTGCCAGGTTAGCAGAAGCTGGGGCTCACAGCAGGAGGTCACCCTTCTCCCCAGCTTCAAACCGCCAACCTTTTGGTCAGCAAATTCAGCAGCTCAGCCGTTTAACCCGCTGCGCCACTAGAGGGCCCTTCAACCACATAGAGAATCAGAAACCTTTTACGGTGGTTTTTTTTTTTTTTTTTTTTTTTTTTTTTGCGAAACCAACACTTAAGGGGAACTAATTTACAGCCTGGAAGTAGTGTGCTAGAGAAACTCCAATTCCATCAGTACTGGTATTGTTGCATTTCTCCCCTATACATTTCAGAATTGCTTTCATTTTCTTTTAGGAGAGAAAAAAAAAGGCAACCCCTCCTCACATCTGAACTGTTTTCTCTTTTTTATGTTTATAAATAGCCTTCTTCAACACCCCTGACTCCCAAGAATATGCGCCCTGCACCCAAAGAGGCCTTTTTCAAGACACCCGGCAGTCTTGAAGATCCTACTGCGTGGCGAAAAAACGAAGGCAGCCAGAGCAGAGCAGCCAGTTCTGTTCAAAGAAGATTAGAAATCTCCAGCAGCAGTTCTGACTAATCCGGATCACAGTTGAGGTGCAGTCAGTTTAGAGCAGAGCTTTAGAGTTGTTACAGAAATAATCAGTTATTACATTAAAGAAGGGAGAGAGAAAACATGTTAAACGCTCACTCCAAGGGCACGCTTGCCCAGTGTGCGTTGCCTGCTGAATTTCTCTCTCCCAACAACTTTCCCTAGTTGTGTAAATATTAATTCCAATTGGAACTCAGATTGTGCATATGAGAGCATCAGATCCTATTGGATGAATTTTAAGAAATTGGCAGGATGTGTGACCGGGTTAAGCAGTGTCTGTTCCAAATACAAAAAGGGGGAGCTGGCTAGCACTTATATAGAGATAAGACACCTTTTACAAAAACTATTTATCCTGTATCTGTATGTAAGGTCAGCCAAGAGGACCTCTAAATGAAATCGCGTAGCAGCTGCTGCTACTGTAGTAAAAAAAAAAAATCATTTCCAACTTTGGAACAACAGACTTTTGCAAATTACTTGAATGTAACTGATGGATATACAGTTTTCCCTGCACTTGTTAAGCAAAAGTCTAATAACTTACAACGTATGGATGAATGTACACATGTGAAATATTTTAAGACCAAAATAACTGTGAAGTTTTTACATTTTTACAATCGGGTTTGTATTAATGAATGTTGCAGTTCCTCTACTATGATATGTCCTCGCTTTTTTTCTGCACAAGATAGACAGATTTAACTTCCGCTGGTGGAAAGGCTTGTTCCCAAAACTGTAGAGCAGTCTTCCATAACCTGATATCCTCAAGGCGTGTTGAGTAGGAACTTCATCAATTCCCCAAATCACGATGGAGGGCACCAGGTTCAGACTACTGTACAAAGTAGTAGGTTATTTCAAGACTTGCAGTTGTATGGTAAACAATTCATTCTCTGGCTTAGATATTGCCAACAATACCATGCATTTTACAACTAAGTGAGAGTCCAATTTAAGGCATTACACTCAACTGTAATTATACCACAGTCCCTGCAAAGGTGATTCTTCTACCCAACCGAGAAAGCCTGTAGTCACATCTGTATTTCTTATACCGGTCATGGGCAAAAACAGGCTTGCGGGCCAGATGTGGCCCTTTGGGCTTTTTGTCCTGGCCCATCTGCTTCACCCTCCCCTTCAATATGTAGACGCAGTAGCCCGCCACATCCCCAGACTGAGAGGAAGGCAGAGCCACACCTCTGCCAAGGGCTTTCTGGAGAGCACTTGGCAGCAGCGTGCTTGTCTCCCTCCTCTGGGCCTGAGGAAGGCGGGCTGCTGCCTTTCTAGGGGTGAGAGAAGAAACAGGGAAAGAAATATACCAATGCCAAGCGTGCTTGACAGCGGCGTGTTTGTCTCCCTCCTCTGGGCCCGAGGAAAGCGGGCCACTGCCTTCCTGGGGCCCAGAGAAGAGCCAAGGAGAGAAACATGCCATTGCCAAGCATGCTTTGACAGTGGCGTGTTTCTCTCCTTCCTCTGGGCCCTAGGAAGACGAACCACTGCCTTCCTGGGCCACTGGAAGAGGCAGGGAAACAAACATCACCACCACTTGGCAGCGGTGTGTTGTCTCCATCTGCCTTCCCAGGACTCAGAAGATCCAGGAAAAGATGCCAAGTGGCAGTGGCATGTTTATCTCCCTGGATACATACCAGCCCCTTCCCTCGCCAAGACCGCCCTTTCTGGGCCTGGCCCCATCGCTTCCAGCCCACAGTCCCCCCTTTTTGGCCCTACCCACGCTCCCTCCCAGCTCAGCCCTTGCAGCTAGGCCCACAAGGTGGCCCCAGGGCAAAAACGTCTGCCCATGCCTGACTTATACAATTAAAATGCCTATTTTTCATTTTTAAAAACTATTTTGTGCACAATATTTATAACATGTTATGGTCAGACACAAAGGAGGACAAGAATTGAGAAAGTTCTACCCTGTCATTGAAACTGCAAAATGGGATGATCAGTCAAAGCAGTAAGATTATTCTCTAGACTTGAGAGAGAAGGAACGGGGGATAAAGGTTAATTCAAAGTTTCCAAACTTTGGCTGTTGATACTTGAGCACAGTTAATCTTTTCCAAATGAACTGAGTAGTATAGATGTTTTGAGTTTACGTCACCAATTCAGTGGCACATTAAAAGTAAATCAGTCATCATGTTACCTCTAACTTTTTAATCAAGAGAATGGACAGTCATACTGTCTCTTTCTTTTTAAAATATTGGGATAATTTTGTACGGAGGACGTCTGTTTCCTGAGGCCAGACACATTTTCTAATCTGTCATTTCACAGGCATAGGAATAATGTTTTAGTGTATGTTTAAGTTGGATTTTAAATAACGAAATATGTTACCTAAAGGAAATTAAGTATGGATAATTCTAGTGGAGCTGCAGAATAAATGGGAAATGCAGTATCCTCGTGTTAGGTCAGACCACTGACTGCCTTACAAGGAGGGTGAAAAGACTTAAGTTTCTTAAAAACACAGCAATAAAAATCATAGGAATTCAAAACATGTAGAAAGAAGACCCAATAACTGTTACAGTAGAGTCTTACTTATCCAATCTTCGCTCATCCAGCATTTTGTATTATCCAACACAGTCTGCCTCCCGCCTGGATCCACAGTTATTTTAATACATTGCAATGTTTTAGTGCTAAATTCGTAAATACAGTAATTACTGCATAATGTTACCGGGTATTGAACTGCTTTTTCTGTCCATTTGTTGTAAAACATGATGTTTTAGTGCTTAATTTATAAAATCATAACATAATTTGACATTTAATAGGCTTTTCCTTGATCCCTCATTATCCCACATTTTCGCTTATCCAGCGTTCTAGCGGCCCGTTTATGTTGGATAAGCGAGACTCTACTGTATAATTTACCATTTCTGTTAGTCTGTCGCAGCAAAATGAAGAGCGTCTTGCAGTAACTTCAAAACTAAAACATTTTAACCGCATGATTTCAGTCTACTTCAGTCTGATATGGTGAACTGGGCCCGCTTGAAGCCTATGGCATTATAAATGTATTCATCTTTTAGGTGTCAGAGAACTATTGTTAACAGTGAATTGTTAATTTTTGAAGAAGTTATTAACACTACAGTGTGTATGTGTGTTTTTTCTGATTTTCAACAGATGTGTTGTTCCATACATACACATTGAATTGTTTTCTGAGTGAAATTAACTATTTAACAATACAATCATTACCCACACAAATGGACAAAGTCAGTTATGTACAAGACTCCCAATTTATTCTCAGCCATCCCAAAGTGGTGCCACTTTGGGCTTAAAACACATTGTTCCTCTTAAGAGAAAGATCATAAGATGTACCAACTCCTCATCAACCTCCCTCCATATGTCTTCCATGTGGCAATAAAGGAGTGGTATGAGAAGATCAAGGTTGATGTAAAACACTTCCACAATTATAAAACCAGTATACCCCTTCTCATCCCCTTGGCTGTCCTCCAGCATAGCTGTTTTCATGTTCATAACTTCCCTGAGCACATGGTTTTGGTCACACAGAATTGGAAGGAAAAAAAATGAGAGTCCAAGTGAGTCTTTCCAGTGGTGCAACTCCTTTTGATGAGCACATTTGTTTGCTTCCAGCTTCACGAAAATATTTGGAGTATAGCAGCCTAAGTATGGAATTTCTTGTGAAGTGGAGCCAGTGTTGGGTTTCATGTGCTTGGAAGAAAGAGGGAGTTTGTCCCAATTGTGGTTGGCCATTTTAGGAGAAATGGAATTGAAGGTTCAAAGGGGACATGATAGGCTTAGACTAGGCATGGGCAAACTTGGGCCCTCCAGGCGTTTTGGACTTCAAGTCCCACAATTCCTAACAGCCGATAGGCTGTTAGGAATTGTGAGAGTTGAAGTCCAAAACACCTTGGAGGGTCCAAGTTTGCCCATGCCTAGCTTAGACCATAGAGCTAAGCTAGCAAATAGCGCAACCTGTATGGGTCTGGTTGTTATCATTTTGTGAAGATAAAAAAGGAGTTTAGGTGGACACGAGCTGAGAAATCAGATGTGGGTTAGATCAAGGGAGGTGGTGTCTATGGCCCTCCAGATATTGTTGTATTTGGATTTCAGACATGGCCAATCGCCAGCACATCTCACTAGTCTATCAATAATCATTGGAACGACTTGTAGGTCGAAGCAGAATTGAAGCTGCATGAGGTCAGTGATGGTGACCCAAGGTCCAACCAGTGGTGTTTTCCAGTTCCATCCTGCCATATCTTTCATAAAAGCTCTATGAGAAAACTATGAGAGGCAGGAAGATTGTTTGCACTGATCTAAGTGCGCATATGTTCAATTGTGCAGGTTTTCAGGTCTCCTAAAATTTTCATTTTCTGGTACCTTTTTTTCCTTTTTTGCCAAGGAGAGGAAGAGTGTGTGCATAACTTATATACTTGAATCTACCTACAACGTTTACATTTCTCCATTCCTTTTGTAAAAGGTGCTGTTTCTGTATTTAATTTTATTTTTTGTTTTGTTTTTTAATGTAAAGCTGCTTCACATTTATAACATTGCACTGCTAAATTACTTTGGTATTAACTTTAGAACTATTTGTGGTTCTTTTGCTGGTTAGAAATTACTTTCTTCCTGTCTTTAGTTCTTTTTCGCTACACTCTACATATAAAACTATTGTGAGCACACACTATTGTTGTGGGAGAAGTATGGATATTTTTATACTTTCTATTAGAGGACTAATCTTTGTAAGCTAATAAAAAAGTGAAGCAAAAAAAGCGAAGGGAGTTGTTCCTTTTTGCCCGATGGATTGTTTTTGAAAGAATCATAGAATCATTGAGTTGGAAGAGACCTTGTGGGCCATGCAGTCCAACCTCCTACCAAGAAGCAGGAAAATCACATTCTGGCATCTGTTTGAAAGCCTCAAAAGAAGAAGCCACCACCACACTCTGGGGCAGAGAGTTCCACTACTGAACAGCTATCACAGTTAGGAAGTTCTAATGTTCAGGTGGAATCTCCTTTCCTGTAGTTTGAAGCCATTGTTCCATGGCCTAGGGCCCTTCCGCATTGGACAGTATTGCAGGTGTGGTCTGACCAAGGCAGAATAGAGGGGTAGCATGACTTCCCTGGATCTCAACACTATACTTTTTATTTATGCAAAATCTCATTGGCTTTTTAAGCCGCTGTGTGACATTGACTGGACATGTTGCAGTATCATATCTTTCAGGAATTTGGGGTCAAAGGAGTGGGACCATCCCATTGCTGCGATCTGAACCCATACAGGATACATACATGGCTTTCCTCTCCCACACTTCATCCTGAAGTCCTGCAAGGCCAAATTTCCATAGTGTGTCTCATCAACTAAGCTAGTTTAATAATAAAAATATTATTATTATTATTATTATTATTATTATTATTAACTTTATTTATACCCCGCAAAATCTCCCGAAGGACTCGATGCGGCTTATGATCTTAATTATACTAAGACAAATGCAAGCAAACTGCACATATGGGTTGAGGGGAAAAAAGCTGTTTCCAAGCAATGCTGCTCAGTATTTCCTAATTTAGCTTGCAGCAGTTTAAATTCAGTCATGTTGGCAGATTTAACACCTGATGAGCAAATTTCGTTATGCAAAAAAGTGCAACAACAACATGTTTTTGAAATATTTGTGCCAAAAAATCGAACATGGGAGGAAATAGTATTTTGACATTTGATCAAATGACAAGAGCTGAGTTTTCTCCAAAATCCAGTTCTTCCCTGGGTTGTGCCACTCCCCTTTCAAAGGATTTGCTTTCACTGACCACAGGGTGGCAGTAGTGTTTGTGTGACAAACTAGGGAAAATGTTCTTCCAAAGTCCTGAGCAAATACCCTTGTAATATTTTTTCCTCGTTTTTTTACACCTATTGATTGTCAGGCAGTTCAAAGTCTCAGATCATTTGCAGTCATTTTTATGCAGAATAGGATGATGATAATCTTCTTCTAAAAGTTGATAAATAGTTCTAGAAGGCTGAGTTCAGTTTCTGCTTGACCATGGAAACCCACTGGGTGACATTGGGTGAGTCACACTTTCTCAGTCTCAGGTAACGGCAGATTGAATAGATTCCTCCCAAGAAAACCCCATGATCTTTAGCCCGACAAGCTAGAAATTACTTGAAAGCACAAAACAACATAAGAGCTGTAGGACAATTGAAGCTGTAAGATCTATGACATTGTTGTGATAACCTGTATCGTGTAAACCGCATTGAGTCGCCTGACTGGGCTGAAAAATGCGGTATAGAAATAAAGCAAATAAATAAATAAATAAGATAACTGAAGGGACCGCAGTGGCACAATGGGTTAAACCCTTGTGCTGCTGAACTGCTGACCTGAAGGTCGGCAGTTTGAATTTGCAAGACAGGGTGAGTTCCCATATGTCAGCTCCAACTCCAGCCAACCTAGCAGTTAGAAAGTATGCAAATGTGAGTAGATAAATAGGTACTGCTTCGCTGGGAAAAGGCAAAGAGATGCTTCAAGCAATCTTGCCAGCCCCACAACCAGGAGGTGACAATGCAGGCTTGAAAATGGAGGAAAGCACCACTCCAGAGCCAGAGATGAGCACCGCCTCCAGAAGCCCGAAATGAAAGGAGAAGCCTCTGCCTTTGTTTGTGTTTGTCTCTTATTGTATATGATTGTAAAGACATTGAATATTTCCTTATGTATGTAAATGCTTTAATCTGCTCTGAGTCCTCTAGCGGAGAAGGGTGGAATATAAATAAAATGTATTATTATTATTATTAAAATTAGCAGAACAAATATATTTATAGGTTAATGCTAACCTCAAGGAACTGATTGACAATATCATGTAGATCAGAGGAGCGGACGCTTTAAGTCATTCAGATCATTTGGACTTCCAACTCCCAGAATTGTCAACCAGCATGGTCAATGGCAAAGAACTGAGAAGATTGTAATCCAGATATTTTCTATCCTTTTTAATGCCTTGCAATTACTTTTTAATTTCTTTTGAATCTCTAAGAACAAAAGATCCTGTATGATCTACTTATTCGGGCTTTATTGTAATTACTATGCTTTAAACCACGTTTTTTGCATTTATAATTTTTTCCAGGGAAACATCCCTTTAAGCATTGCACAGCATGAGTCACTGATAACAACAGCCTGCTTGCAACGGTTTGCGATTAACCATCATGAAAGCATTTCCCTTTATTTGAGTCATCTTCCACAAAATGGACGCCAGATGTAGTCTTCTGTAATTGAAGGTTGCTGTTCTTTTAATCCACCCAAACAAAGCTTGGTTTGTAAAATAGAATTTTCACAAAGAAAAGCATCTTGTGAACGTTAGGCTCCAGCAGAAATGGCATTCCCTACTACAGTGGGTCTTTGGTATTGGTTGGGTTTGGTTTTGGGACTCCTCATGGATACCAACATCAGTGGATGCTCAAATCCTATTCCATACAATGGTGCAATAAAATGGTTCCCCTTATATAAAATGGCAAGATCAAGATTTGCTTTTAGAAATTTTATTGGGTAGTTGAATCTATGAATATCGCATTCGTGGATACATGGGCCAATGGCACTAAACTTCTTTATTGAGAAGGGTTTCCCTGGCAATGAATTATAAATACCAGGGAATGCTAAACTCACCCACCAAATACTCCACCCTTCACCCCAATTCTTGGGGGGTGTGGGGGAATGAAAGACTATGTTCCTTGGCCACAAAATCCAGAACCATTGAACAAAATGTTTTGGAAAATTAGCACAATTAGAAGCTAGACATGTGGATGAGTTTTAGTGATAATTCCAAATATTAGACATTGTCTATACAGGTGGAGAGAGAACAAGAGTAGGCAAGACACAGACTGAAATCTTGTGCTGTTTCATTATAACATAAATACGCACTAAAAGTTACATTATGCTTGCATTACCCAACCCACATCCTGAACATAGCACAAGAAACTTGTATCTGCTTAAGTCATTAAGAGGATTCCAATCACACAGAATATACGATACAATCATATATAACTGATCTACTAGAGCAGTGTTTCTCAACCTTCCTAATGCCGCAATCCCTTAATACAGTTCCACATGTGGTGACCCCCAACCATAAAATTATTTTCGTTGCTACTTTCATAACTGTAATTTTGCTATAGTTATGAATTGTAATGTAAATATCTGATATGCAGGCTGCATTTTCATTCACTGGACAAAATTTGGCACAGATACCCAATACACCCAATTTGAATACTGGTGGGGTTTTGTCATTTGGGAGTTGTAGTTGCTGGGATTTATAGTTAACCTACCATCAGAGAGCATTCTGAACTCCACCAATGATGGAAATGAACCAAACTTGGCACACAGAACTCCCATGACCAACAGAAAATACTGTAAGAGGTTGGTGGACATTGATCTTGAGTTTTGAAGTTATAGTTCACCAACATCCAGAGAGAACTATAGACTCAAACCATGATAGATCTGAACCAAATTTGGCGCAAATACTCAATATGAACACTGGCAGGGTTTGGGGAAAAATAGACCTTGACATTTGGGAGTTGTACTTGCTAGAATTTCTAGTTCACCTACAATCAAAGAGCATTCTGAACCGCACCAATGATAGAATTGGGCCAAATTTCCCACACAGAACCCCCATGCCTTGAAAGGACTCGTTGGCGTGAGCCCCCCTCCAGCCTCACATGCTCTCCCTCACCTGTACATGTGCACCATGCTGCCATTCACTGTGCATGCCTGCTCTCTTCTCCCTGCTTGGAGTCTCAGAAGTAGCCCTCCCCTTCTCTGAGGGGCCGGCAAATCAAGCGGAGGAGAGCTTTTGGTGGGAGGATTCACTATCTGTTTCCAAAAAGGAAGAGAAGGACAGGCAGAGAGATCTTCAGCCTTCTCTGCCAAAGGTGTTCCTAAGAACATCAGAAATATATGTTTTCTGATGGTCTTTGGTGACCTCTTTGACACCCCCCCCCCCCCCCCAGGTGTTTTGAACTTCGGCTCCCACAATTCCTACAAGGAGTGGTTTAGTGCCATCATCATTAAGTCATCACCAAGAAAAGTCTATGCAATAACTTGGAGATTTATTAAGAGGACAAAGACTATGGCCTTTGCCTGAAACTAAAAGGACGTGGACTTCCCCAAATAAGTAGGGATTCCATGATCGAATTTAGTCCCTGGTGTCCCAGAGGCCTGCATCTACTCAAGAACTGCCATGGATCAATGTATGCAGACATGGGAGTTGCTTCAAGGTCTGAACGTATCTCCCTCTACATTCCACCTTCTGGGGAGGCCCTGCTCTCGGCCCCGCCTCTGTCACAAACATGGTTGGTGGGGACGAGGGACCGTGCCTTCTCGGTGGTCCCTCCCCCCGCTTGTGGAATCCATTCCCCGGGGAAATTAGGTCATCTTCATCCCTCCTCTCCTTTGGAAAGAAGTTGAAAATGTGGATGTGGGACCAGGCCTTCGGGTAAATATGCTGACAAGGAAAATGGCAATGATGACAATTGCTATGGTAATGGATAAACTTGATGGAGTTTCTGATCA